GTGGACGTGACAGACGGACAGATCAGCTGAGCGGAAACGGACATGACGTCACGGGATGTTATCGTAGGTTACACTATTTCGATGCATTGCTCGATCTTCGATGTAGGTTTAATCGTTTTTTATGATTGTCCGGTCTTTATTTCATATTCAACAGCATGCTGATTTGAAGGTTTCGACTGTCGAAACTAAGTCGCCGCGTCCTCTTGTTAAGTTTTAAACTGTAAGTATATTCAAAGACGTATAAATATTTTCAAGTAAACTTATTAAAAATCTCTCTGAAATAATTCATAAAAATCGAATTAAAAAACAGTTTAACTTATAAAGTAATTTTAAACCACTGAACAACGATTTCCGAGTAATCATCAATAAATTATGTTCGTTGAGCAAAATAGTATGGAGACCGTGAAGCGATTTATATAAGTTATTTGTCAACCTTTGATAGTTTTGCAAATACTTCGTTTTCTTAGAACGTCAAATACGTGACCGCACTTCGATCCGCATCATCTCACCCAATTGTCACATTCCTTCAATTATTCCATCTTGTCGTCGCAGTAGCATTGCTATTTTGTTCCAAACAACATAAAAATTATGTAACAAATAGACTAAATTTGTAGAGGCCTTCTGTACGTAAGCACTGTGTTTTAAGTGTCGCATCAAGAAATAGAGTTTCTTTTGACTGTGGATTGTAATTGTAAAAAATACTTAGAATGTTTTTATGTTAATATGAATAAAAAAGTTTACCTCGAATAGGAGGGCCTCGATCGAAGTCATTACTATTATAGAATACACAAAAAAAATTGAGAAAACTAACATTTCGAAGTATGTAATTAAATCAGTTTCGCTACACCCCGGGCAGTTTGACAATCCTGCATCGTAGGTGGCCATCCATTAGGCAAGTATAATATTTGCGCAATAATTCTCCCAATCACCAGCCCTCTGTCATTACACTTTGTTATGAAGAGCCGCGACCAAAATATTGTTTTTGTACGCTCCGTAGTGATTTCGTCGAGTCGGTTCCTTTGAAGAACAATTGTAAAGTCGTCAGGGGGCGGAGCGACGGCTATCCGTGTTTGATTTGCCGTAGTTTTCGACAGATTAGCGCCGAAGATCTAATTTGATGATTTTTCCTTTATCGTCTCTAAATGCTTCTCGTGTATCTCAAGTGTGGTCCACATACTTATAATGGACTGAGTGTTTTGTTTTTTATGTTATTATCGGCTAAGTAAATATAATTAACTTGTTACCTGATTATTGAACTGAAACGATCGTATCAATTTTATCAGGTAAAAGATATCAGGGTAAAAATATTGCGCAGAGGGTTTTTTAATTTCATAATTTGAAATTACATATTTAATGGAAATAAAATTTTAATTTAAATGATGTTTCAAAATTTTAAAACAGTTATATTTTTTGTTGACGTTATTTCAAATTAGTTATTATTAAATTCTTAGTCGTTATCTCTATAGTTCGTTGTATTTAGCTCAAACGTAAAATTTTTATGTCGAATGCTGAATTACAATTGATGGAGACAATGGCTCAAGACTAAAACGGTAAAATTCTCATACAGATTTCTCAAGGTGTTTTTAAAACTAATTTATTAATGAAATTATTTCGCCATTTTGCATAAAATATTAATTATAGATAAAGCGAGTGTAAGTCATCAGTAGATACTTACACTTATAATTTTATAATACAAAAATCTACGTCCTGTGTTTGATATAACACCATGTAAGGAGATTGGTCCTTGTATGGTTTAAACTTAAGAAAAAGCTATTGATATTTTTAAAATAACTGAGTTCTAATATTCTTTCAATTCAATTTACTCCATGCTATATTATATGACCATATAACAAATAAAAAATAAAATAAATAAATAAATAATCTTGTTGGGACATTAACATACAGCACCATCTAGTTAGTAAGCTACGAGGCTTGTGTTTTGGATACCAGATAGTTGATACACTACACATATACCAATAACTTTAAATACATACATATTACAAATATGACTGGAGTACAAACATTCGTGTTCATTACATAAATTAATGATTCAGCGCGACTCGAACGCGTATCGATAATAATGTCTATTTCAATAAGATTTTGCAAAAAATATTTAATGTACAGATTCGGCTTAGTTAGAATTTATGTATAATGTATAGATTATTTTGCTTAAGTATACTTTTTTGCAAGACAATTTTGGGATATAAAAGACGACGTTATATACTAACAAATTTTCCCTGATAAGCTAACAAAGTTAATCATATTGGTTCTTGGATTGCTCAATACGATGTTTGGTGTCGATGTATTTTTACTCGCTTTGTAAATAATTGCTCGGAGCCCAGACATTATTATGTTCTTGTTTATTTATCGTTTCTCTTTCGATTCGGAGTGACTGAGGAAAATGTATTTATAGCTCTACACTTGAGCACAGATTGTGTTTGGTAGTAGGTAGGTACAAATCTATTAAACTCTATTCTCAATTTCATGGATATTTTTTTTTGCGAAAAATTATTATTTTTTACTATAATAAAAGTAAACTTCTTCTTATAACATCAGCTATTTGCCAGTGAAAGTCCCGTCAAAATTAGTCCAGCCTTTTCTGAGGTTAGCTAGAACAAACAGACATACAAAAATTTAAACAAATATTTTTCTTCTTGCAAGTATGTAGGTATATACCTTATAAACATTCATATGCATTTAGTAAAAAGCTGTTATTTTAACATTACAAACAGACAATTATATTTATTTGTATAGACGATATACTGATTCTAGTGCCTATTTATAATATTGAAGGTATTTATACCTTCTTTTAACGCGAAAGCAACATGACGACAATACAGAATCGTTGAGAACTTTAACCAAACAAGTAGTTTCAGATGATAACTCGTATAGTAGTGTATTAATAACTCTTAAAAAGATATTAAAAACCAATAGAAGTGGAGTCAAAAAAATCGTGGCTGGGGGGTCGCGTGTGAACCGAGCGCCGAGCGCCGTGAAATCGAATCCAACACTTTTACTAAAAATACCATTTCACTTAAGTTTTAGATATCACGATACGACCACGACACACGACAGACGGACAAGAAATGATTGTTTTATATAGTTTTATTCCGGTATTTGTTTGTTATTTGCATATGTTAGCATCAGAATTAAAGTATTCCTCGAGTTTTTAACTTAAACGCTATGCTGTCTTTAGAGTAACTTTAAAAGTAACTATTCCACTTTTTACGGTGGATTTTTTATCGTAAAAATCGGTTCACAATTGGCAAAGGTATCATGTAACATACACAAACAATGATTTACATCCAAATTAAGTGCGCCCTCCTTTTTTGGTGTCGGTCAATTAATCGTGACACGGAAGGATAATGCATTTTTTCGCCGTAGTTTTTATGTGAAGAGACGAGCAACGCGTCTCCGGACAGACAACTCTATACGTCGAACATTTTTTATATATCTATTTTTTATTTATAAACAAAGGCCGGTTAACGATAATTAAAAGTGTAGACTCTATCGCCTTTCATCGGTTTTTTGTTCATACCCAAGGATTGTGACTTTTATTTTGTACTTGTATCAGAGCTTTATATTTTTTTAATCCACTTGAATTCCTCGCGTTGCACTAATTGATTGGTTTCTTTTTTAATTTTATGAACATACGGAACGTTTTGTGATTTATTGACAGCTTAAGTCATTACCGAAATATTTTTTAGTTTTTTTGTATTTATATCAACATATATTTTATAGCATCGTTCACGCACATATAGCCTTTTCAACAAATAAATACGAGTACAATATAATGAACAAACGATACGTACGTTTAGCTCAGTTTGTAGTTACCCTGCTTCCTCTGCTAGCGGTCGCGGCGTCAAGTCCCGCTGGGGGTATTCATTTGTATGATGAGCACGAATGTTTGTACTCCAGTCATGGGTGTTTATATTTATAATATGTAGATATTTAAAGTTATATATGTGTAGTGTATGAACTATCTGGTATCCATAACACAAGCCTTGTAGCTTACCATGGAACTAGATGGTGCTGAGAAAAATATATATTTTCGACTGCATTTAAACAGTTTACATTTTGCGTGCTCCCAAACGCAATCTCAGCCAAAAGAATACAATTCCGAGGTCAAGATTTTAGGGTCTTGAATTAAAATTCTTCAGATTTTTTGCGAAACTTTATCTTAAGGCCAAGTCGTTGTTACATTTTTATTTCTTCATGATTTAATGAACCCTTACTGCTTACATGTATCGAAATCTTATTTATATTAAAACTATACAAAAACTTCTATCTATGATTTAAACATAATACACTAATTTAACTTATTGTAATGTATCTATACTAAATAAAAGATCTTGATTTTCATTTTGAATCACATAATGAAAATAGGCCACTAAAAGAACTGCGTGTCTTCAAATTAAAGCTCATCATCAGTTCAACTGCATCTTAACATCGAACCTGTTAACCCTGGAGGGAGGATGGGGAGGGAGGGAGGCAGGGGGCGTGGTGAGCAAAGTATTCAAATATATTATAATACCCTTTTTGTTTACCGGCTTACCGGCTAAAACGTACTCCGTGTTTTAGACACGTTTTATTTGGAAGAGATTTATAACCGAGAATGCACGGCATTTGCGATCTTCGCTTCTTATAAAAAGTTAATTGATTTCGTATATATAGATTAAAGATCATTAAATTATTGAAAATTAGCTTTGCTGACGGCTATACATGAAAATATGAAAGCGCAAGGTATTGGGTATCCAGTCAGATCCAATTATATTGTGCTATATTAAAGTTATATTTAATCTGTGCTCGGTGGCGCCAAGACATTTGTCATGCGATGGTCGGGGACCAATCAGAATAAAGAGAGTAGGTTAGACTTAGGCGTGGCACTGGGGATTAAATAATATATAATAAGTATCAGTGTAAAGAATTAAAGCCTTAAAAATAATTAATGGTGTTTTCATAAACCACACATGGCGCAGTCGTAAAAGGTAAAAGTCACAATGGCGTATACGTATAACCTACCAGCTCCTCTCTGTCTTGAAGGTAATTTATCAGAGAATTGGCGGCGTTTCAGTCAAAGTTTTAAAATATATTTAGAAGCAGCAGGCTTAAATGAAGCATCAGATACTAGATTAATTGCCATCCTTCTAAATACTGTTGGCGAAAATGCGTTGGCAGTCTACAATACTTTTCCGAAACTGCCAAAAGATCGTAAACTGGATGATGTATTGAAGCAATTTCACTTGTACTGTAATCCCAAAACAAATATTCTACATACAAGACACTTGTTCTACAATAGGACACAGCAAATTGGTGAATCCTTTGACAACTTCTTAACAGATGTTAAAGCGAAGGCCTCTCAATGTGGTTTCAAAAAAGAATGCTATGAAGAAATGATAAGAGACAGATTGGTGTTTGGAACTATCGATAAGGATAGTCAAGAAAAATTAATTAAAAATGGAGACCCCCCATTAGAAAATGTTATTGCTTCATTACGAACAGCGGAAATTACAAACAGCCATATAAAGGAAATTCAAAACTCTTGTCAGGCTCATGATAAAATTTATTCAGTGTCATCATCTCATACAAATAAATATACTAAAGATAAACAAATTAAATATAGTAAAGAAATGTATAATAATACAGTAAAAACGTGTAACAAATGTGGCTATACTCATAATTATGCTCAATGTCCAGCCTTTGGTAAAACGTGTGCAAAGTGTCAAAAAACCAACCACTTTGCAAAAGTATGTCGGTCCAGCAATAAGAACACCAACAAAAATGTCTCTGAAGTGCATTTGGATCCTGAAACTGAAGATAACTACTTTTGTGGTGCACTAACATCAACATTCTTCATTGATTCACTGGCATGGTATGAGAAAATTAATGTAGAAGGATCAGAAGTTAACTTTAAACTTGATTCTGGTGCGGATGTCAACATTATACCCATGAATTTATTTCAAGAAATCACAAAGAATTCATCCAAGCCCTTAACTCTTAACAAAACATCTGCTAACCTTGAAAGCTGGAATGGGTACAAAACCCCAATAGAAGGTATAATAAAACTTAAAATTAAAACAAATAACATAGACACTGAAGAAACATTTTGTGTAGCAGGTGGTAAACAATCAATTCCAATCTTGTCGCGAGATACTTGTGTCAAACTTAACTTGATTCAGCGCATGGAAATATCAGAAGTTAGCAAAGTAAGTAGAGACATTATTATTAATGAAAACCTAGATCTTTTCTGCGGGGTCGGCAAAATTCAAAAACCTTATGAGATAAAATTAAAACAAAACACAATCCCCACATCGAAGCCACCATATAGAGTTCCATTAAAAATAAAATCAAAATTAAAAATTGAGTTAGATAAGTTAATTGAGTTGGATATTATATCAAAAGTAACTGAACCATCGGAGTGGGTGAATAGAATAGTTATTGTTGAGAAACCCAATGGTTCAATCCGAATATGTTTAGACCCAAAAGATTTAAATGATTCAATAGTGAAAGACTACTGTTCCATTCCAACTTTATCTGAACTATCAGTGAAACTAAAAAATGCTAAGTTCTTTTCATTGTTAGACTTAAAAGATTCGTTTTGGCACATTACATTAACAGAAAACAGTTCCAAATACTGTACATTCGCAACCATCTTTGGAACATTTAAATTTAATAGGTTACCCTTTGGTATTAATATTGCATCTGAAATCTTTCAAAAAATGCTGTCAGATATATTTTCTGATGTAGAGGGTGTAATTAATTATATTGATGACATATTATTATTTTCAGATACAAGAGAAGGTATGAATAATATATTGAAAAATGTTTTTGATAAAGCTAGGAAATTTAACATAAAATTCAACAAAGATAAATTCCAATACATGGTCACTCAAGTCAAATACTTGGGTCACATCTTTGAGAATGGAACAGTAAGTCCTGATCCTGATTCTATAAAAGCTGTTATTGATTATGATAAACCTACTAATAAGCATGATTTACAAAGATTTTTAGGTCTTGTTAATTACTTGCATTCATTCATTCCCAATCTAGCTAGTTTAAATACACCCCTACGAGAATTGTTAAAAAAAAACGCTGTTTTTGACTGGCAAAAAATACATACTGATTGTTTTGAAAAAATTAAGTCCTGTATTACAAGTTATCCTGTGTTGCAAACATTTGATCCTAATGAAAAAATAATCATACAAACAGATGCTAGTAAAACAGGAATTGGCTGTGTATTATTACAAAATAATAAACCAGTGTGTTTTGCATCAAAATCGCTTACACCCACAGAGATTAACTATGGACAAATTGAGAAGGAATTCCTTGCAATTTTATTTGCATGTAAAAAATTTCATACATATATATATGGCAGAAAAGTCTTAGTTCAAACAGATCATTTACCACTAATATCAATAATGAAAAAAGAGATTGCAAGTATTCCTTCTACAAGATTACAAAGAATAAAACTAAAACTATGTATATATAATATTGATGTAAGGCATATAAAAGGTACTCAAATGTATATAGCTGATGCACTTAGCAGAGCATGTTCAAAAGCCAGCAGTGACTGTGACAAGGATTTAAATGATGTAATTCACTCAATAAATGTATCTGATGACTTGTTGACTAAAATCAAGGATGCCTTACCAAATGACACTGTTGCTATTAAGTTATTTTATTATTTAAAAAATGGTTGGCCTAAATCAAAAACAAAAGTTGAAGATTCCATTAAATTTTATTTTATGTCTAGGAATAACATTAGTCTTGAGAATAACCTGTTATATATAGATAAAAAATTATATATTCCCGAAAGTTTACGGAATTTACTAATATGTAAAGTTCATGATTGTCACTTTGGAATTAATAAAACTAAAGCCAGAGCTAAAATGTTGTTCTCTTGGCAAGGCATGAATAATGACATTGAAAGCTTTGTAACTGCATGTACATTATGCAAAAAATTTTCTCGTAACAATATTAAAGAACCTATGTTAATCAGACTTCAACCTGAATTACCATTCCAGCATGTGTCAATAGATATTCTACAATATGGTAATGATAATTATTTAACATTGGTTGATCACTACTCTAAGTGGATAGAACTCCACAAACTATTAAGTAAAACAGCTGAAAGTACCATAAAAGTTCTTAAACATATATTTTCTTTACATGGCATTCCAGAAATTGTTTATTGTGATAACATGCCATTTAATTCATTCTCATTTCTTGCATTTAGTCGCGAATGGCAATTCAAACCAATTTACTCCAGTCCTCATTATCATCAAAGTAATGGAGCTGCTGAGAATGCAGTAGGAATATGTAAAAATATGCTAAAAAAGTGTAATGAAACAAAATCAGACATTGAGAGTTACTTATTAGAATACAGAAACACACCTATTTGTCAATCACCTTACAGTCCATCACAACTATTATTCAATAGAATTTGTAAGACTAAACTTCCTATAAATAAAACATTGTTAAAACCTAAATTAACTCCAAATTTCAAGCCTCAACTAATACAAAACGCATTAAAACACAAAAAATATTATGATTTAGATTCTAAGCCTAGAATAGAGAATTTTACACCTGGTCAAAAAGTTTATTATAAAGACAATGAAAGGAGCATATTTTGGAAACCTGCTACTATTGTAAAATTAAATATTAACCCAAGGTCTGTAACAATAAAGGATGATAATGATGGCTCTAGTAAAGTAAGGAACAGTTGGTTCATTAAATCTAAAGGAAGCCGGCATCCAAACAACCTGAATGTATGTCCTAGTGTCCCCCCCTCCCCTCAGGTCTCCCCTCAGAGGCATTGGGCGCGTCGAATAACTCATGATGCTGTTCAGGTGTGTAATGATCGAATTAATAATGTACCCAGTGCTTCTAAGAGGACAGTTCGATTACCATCATATCTAAATGATTACGTTTTGTATTAATTAATTTATAAGGATTAATTAATTAATTAATCATAAGATTTTATTTGTTTGTAAAAGTAAGATGTGCTATATTTGATTTATAAACGATAAGTATCATAAGATTTGTTTGTAAAAGGAAGATGTGCTATATTTGATTTATAAATGATAAGTATCATAAGATTTGATTTGTTTGTAAAAGGAAGATGTGCTATATTTGATTTATAAACGATAAGTATCATAAGATTTGTTTGTAAAAGGAAGATGTGCTATATTTGATTTATAAACGATAAGTATCATAAGATTTGTTTGTAAAAGGAAGATGTGCTATATTTGATTTATTAACGATAAGTATCATAAGATTTATTTGTTTGTAAAAGGAAGATGTGCTATATTAAAGTTATATTTAATCTGTGCTCGGTGGCGCCAAGACATTTGTCATGCGATGGTCGGGGACCAATCAGAATAAAGAGAGTAGGTTAGACTTAGGCGTGGCACTGGGGATTAAATAATATATAATAAGTATCAGTGTAAAGAATTAAAGCCTTAAAAATAATTAATGGTGTTTTCATAAACCACACAATATAATTATTGAGAACAGATCGTTGAATATGGTATAGGTAACCCTGAAAATTTTATTTCGAATTGCCTTTGCCATAGAATTGGTGAGAGCTTTTGTTTAAGCTATAGTTGTATGTGCATTTTATGGTTCTATTTGATGCAAGCCCCTTAGACTCAATCCATGCTCAAAACCAATTATTTTTCTTCTAAAACCTTAAACAATTACATTGATAGACTCTTATTAGTTACAAATATAGCTGAAATGTATAGAATTTAAATTTTCAAAGTTATTGACTGAGTAAATATGTATTTGTTTTAATGTAGATAATTTCGTAAGATAGTTTCCAAATAGCTCGGGCCGTGGGAGCCGGGCGCGCTGGTGTTATCGCTGATAGCGCTGTTTGTCCTACGGTTTTCCTTTTGTTTTTACAATCCTATTGACGCATGTACCAAGCCTTTACGTTTGATGATTTAATAATGTCAACATAAATTTAACACATGAATCAAGCTCGTTTTTAGAACACTAGAATAATCTTTTAAACGCGCGAGTCACTCTGCATGTAGGTTGAATTGGTAGACGAGAAATGTTTTGATATATCTATACATACAATAAAATAGTGACGAAGCAAAATCTGTACATGAAATATTTAAAAAAATGACCGTAACGTATTTTATACAGAAAGTAGACCCCAAAACAAAAGTTATTGCAATTTTTGCCTATTTGTCAGCTTAATCTGCATGTGTTTCACGTAAAAAATAATTATTATTTGGGTCAACTTTTAGGGTATGTTTTCCTTCAGGAATATCTTTCATTCCCACGAGAAAATACAATAACTCTTTCGGTTGTTGAATTTTAATCTTTAAATCTATAATAAGTAATATTATAAGCTGAAGACATTGGTTGTTTTTAGCTTGAGCTTCGTTTAAACCAAAGCTGTTGTTGCAATAGCATACATCTACGTTCTTTTCTAATTACTATATTTACAAGTATTTAGTGTAATCATTTGAATTATAATTTCACTAATATGAACCGACCAGAACTCTGATATTAAGTAGCAGCGCAGCCATAAAAATTGTGTAAAGAGAGAATAAGTAAATATCCTTCAGGCAATATTTTGCCTAATAGAGTATTTATAGGAAAGCTTAAAATAAGAAAGTTTCTTCTCATAGTAAAGTCGCCGCTGTAAAATAATAAATAAATTCGATCATACAATTAATAAAGCACTATGATACATATCTTCTATTCAGTTGGCCAAAAAACTTACAATGGGTCCAGTCATTGAGGTTCGACAATGGCGGCCGCGGCAACGTGCGCTTGCGCCGACCTAATCTCTAGAACTTTGCATTCCTCACATAAAGCGCGATGTGAAAGAATATTGTTAACGCCGACCGTTTCATGTGGTTCTGTATATTTTATAATATTTTTTAAAAGCATTTTCTAAAACTTACCAGTAATTTTGAACTCAGGTAATTGAATATTTTCTGATTACTATTCTAAATATGAAAGTTTGTATGTTTGTTACTTCTTCAAGCTAAAGCGGATGGACGATTTGGATGAAATTTAGTAGTACACAGCTAAAAAATAATCTGGAGTAAAAGATAGGATACCTACTGTAAGGCACCCAGGGACGCATCGGAGCGGAGCGAGTATAAGCCGCTACTTTAATACTTGTATAGTTCAAAAACATTCAACACGCTAGAAACTGTTTAGTCTTTAAACATTAAGACTGGCTATAATTGAAGTTAAATGACGACCCATCATAGCATGGATTTTGCTAGATATTCTTACAGTAGTTGGATAATTTAAAATAAAATATAATTAAAAAGTTACGCCAACAGCTTTGCTTTAAAATGTAATACTCTACATTTAAAGGTGGAACCTATTTATTAAAAAAAAACTAACGGCCAGTGACAAAGATAATCATATTTTTAAGTTAATTATAAATGAATGTTCTAGTAGCTCGAATACTACGTTTGATAATTTTTTTCCTCTAAATGACTAGAGACCTCTGTAAGTTTCCTCAGACGTATCAATGATCCTCCTACTTAGATAAGAAATGTTAACTTAACGAAGAATAACTAAGAATTTTTGAACCCTAAAAGTGACTGCGACACAATAATACCTATGAATAATAAGATCAAATAAAAAATCCTACAAGTTCGAGGCTCAATCGTGTAAGCATGTAGACAAACCATTATGTGTATACAATGCAATAGTTTCGTCCCGACGTCGCGCCAACACAAAGACAGTTTTTATTTTCATTTCATTCACCTGAATTACCTTTTAATTTATAATTCTGAGGGCCTTGCTTATGGTTGACAAGAAAACAATAATAATAATACTCAATCTAAATTAAAAAGTAAAAATGTAAAGTAAGATACTAACTTTCTGCTTGCAAAGTCTAGAGTCTACAGTCTAGACTCTAGACCAACTGGCCAATAAGAAAGGGAGAACTGACGATAGTAACATTTTTTTACCCAAAATACTGGAAATCTAGTAAATCGTAGGGTTCACGGCAGCAATCAGTAAGAAAATTACTATAATTGCGTGTACTCATACAGTAGTGAAGAGTACTCTAAGATTATTATTTTAAATTGAATACACGATGATTGGCTGCCACCAGGAGCTGGAGACTGCCATGGCAACGACTGAACACCTGACCTTCACCTTGGTTTAACGGCTTTGTCTGCTGAGGAACAATTTATTTATTGACTCTTGACAAACTTTCGAAAAAGTTTATCTTATTGTTAATTAAATTTTCATTGAAGCTTTTACAACAATGTGTATAATATCATAGCAACAACAAGAGTAATGTATATTATACATAATAAATCTTATAAATTTCTTAAGAAATATGGTAAGCAGTTTAACGGCATGGGGGTACTTCAGGGTATGTTTCTGGGGCATCTACTTTATAAGGTGACCCTTTGAAGGGCGTTCTTTATTCATCGAGTTGTTTACATCTCGTTCATCTAGAGGGGTAATCGAATCACTATTCAAATGTCGAGGGGAAATCGCTTGGAAAGTTATAAGGGTTTTTATATAATTATGGTGTTACCTTGGTTTGATATGTTAAAGTATAATAGAGAGGATTATTGAATTAGATACCTAATTTGCAATTCAAATAGAAGTTACTTTAGTTTTCGCTGTAAGTTTTAAGTTTAATTAAGTTCAATATAATACTTTCTTAGATTTACGTGAATATTTGTCATTTTAAATAAAACTATCTTTTCGGATTTTTTCGTGCATTTATTTTGATTTTTCATTCGTAACATTTCGAATGCTGTACAGCCATCATGGTCACGGTAGAGACCATGTTTAGTCACCCGGCCAGTAGTTTAAAAGTTCAATATAGTATAGGAGTAACTTTTAATATATTGGTATATTTGTAAAATAGTTAAAATGTAACGGCTTAATATTGGTGTAGGATTAAATTCTTCAGCGTTAAATTACGTAAAGTTTAATATCGCAACCAACGGCAGACCTAGTAGCTCTGCGTGGAATGACATCGGGATGTCAATGCACAATACAAGGGTGGTTTTCCAATGAATATTCTATAAGATTATTAACATAATCGAGTGACAACCTGTGAACGAGGCACGGGCGTGTCCCAAAGAACCTAATAAAAATGCAAGCATACTTTGAAAATTAAATTAAAAAAACAACTTAAAAAGCTGTTGTTGTGTCGATGTATTATCTAAATAAATTGTATTACATCTGTGAGCCCGTAATTTTATGCAGAGTGTTTATTTTTTGGTCATTTTGGAATAGATGATTATCTATTGTAAAAAGCAAGTCATAAACGTAAAATGTTTACTGCAATGTCGTTGAAGTCACTTTATATATTACAATAAATTAGTTTAGTAATACATATATAGTGTTTAATTTAATCTACTTAACGGATTTTGATACGAGAATTTTCCCGGAAAGTGCAAGTCTTGTATTATATATAAGTTTATATTTGAAGGAAGTAAAGTAGGTAGATATTTTCTCCCCCCCCCCAACGTGCGTTCAACTTGTCGTGGTGGGGGGGGCTCAGTAGTGCCCGGCAATCCAACCGGGCGCGAAGCTAAGAAACGCACAGGGAGGTTGCCCACTTTGGTGGGCGGTGGGAGGTGGCCCTCTTCGGGGGCGGTGTACCATGTGGGTTGCTCCTGGTACTTCTCTGATAGCAGAGTGGACTGTGGAGCAACCCCATGGTTGTGGTGGTCTGCTTCGGCAGACCTGCCGTCGGGGCGTCGTAGTTGAATGCGTAAGCGATCCTGCGACGCCCCATTAAGACGGGGGAAGGTTTTGTTGGGTTTTAGTGGGTAGTACTGGCTGTATTACGCCGGTGAGTCCCACACGTCGTGCGTAAATGCATTTCCCAACGTTAAAAAAAAAAAAAGGTAGATATTTTCTAATCAAACTATCAAGCGAAGCAAGAGTAAGTCACTAGTACTCGAAATAATATAAAATATAATAATAATTAATTAATAAAACAATTGAATTGAATTAGAGTTTTTGAATTGGAATATTATTGTATTTTAAGTCAATCACAAAATCGATCGATGAATCGAAGAGTCAAATGATATCGGCTCGTTAGTTTTCGCAAAACAAACATAAAATACTAAGTTGTATATGTATGTACTATAACTATAACACATAGCAGGTAAAGTAATTCGACAGAATCGTATTTTAATTTAATGTTATAATTAAGGCAGTTTGCTTCTGCAGTATTTGGATCGATAAAGTATAAGTTATTTCTACCTTTTATCATATTATTTTTATTTTATTGCTAAAGTTTTAGGTGGTCTGAGCTATCAAAGATTAGGATACCGTGGTAAATATGATCGTGATTTATGATTAAAATGTTATCAATAATTGTTTATATTTTATTATTTGTTAAATCAATTTTTAATACTGATGAGTAACTGTATTCTTTACACTAAGTAAATAATAAAATATACTTTTTATAGTTTATTTAATTACTTTGTAGGATATTGTCCAATTTTAGATTTGGCAGAAAGTGGAGAACGATAGCTACCACACCACTACCACATTTGACCAATATTTATGCCTTTTCTGTATGTGTGTTCGGGTGTAAGGCCTGTTGTGTGTACTTTCTAATTGTGTGACAAAAATATACAGAACCTTACATAAAATGTTTAGATTATGTATGTTTTAACAATTCGATGAGACCGCACACACCTCTGCAAATTCGCAAAGGTCCTTACCTCCATTACATTGTTTCGTTAGTGAGCGCATTAGGATTCTGACGTCTTTATTTACATTTTTGTTATAACTTAAAAAAGGAAATTTATCGCTCTAAGAGTATACTTTGTCTGTTGAATTTTATAAAATTATCAAAAAGTTTTTAAATATATTTAGTGACTACAATAAATAAGTTGGCGTCAATATGACATTCATGACAAAGATTTCAAAATTGTCGATGTGTATATAGCTAATCTTAAATTTTAGTGTAAGTAAATAACAAGTAAAAAATAATTTTTCGAAGTGCGATGAGTGCAAAGGAGCATTAAAAAAATTAAATGACAGAAAATCTCTTTTGGAAACGAATCAAGCTCAAAATGCGTGCAAATCATTCAATACAAGTTGAATGTAACGAAACATTACAAAATAAATGTTTAGAACATGCAGTCATCAATGATATTATATGTAAGTATTTAGATAATAAAAGTAGCAAACACAGCGATGACCTTCATTTATACAGGAATAAGGCTGAACATGCTTTGTTAAAAACCAGTGATGAATATTTAAATAATATCAGAAACTATTCTTCCGTTTATTGTAATGCAGAGGATTCTGTTCCAATAACAAAAAATAATTATAAGCAAACTAGCTATATACAAAGTTATCCTTGTAAAAATAAATATACCTATAATGTTAACATTAATCAACTACAAAGCGTTACTAATAATAAATTGACATCGAATGAAAAAATGTATGTTGATAAGACTACGTTCTGTCGTCCAGTACTAAACTTATATAATGAACAATTTATATTTAAAACTATGGAACGCAATACCAGATTAAAAAAACTGGTTAAAAAGTTAGCTATGGCTCGACAACGTGAAAAAGAAAACGTTAATTGGAATAACTTTATAAATATGCTTAAAAATAAACATGGAACTAATAATTCAAAATATTCATGTTCAATATATGATGATGTACGGGAAAATATAACACCAGAAATAATTAACGATTTCTATAATACCAAATTTTCATTTAACAAGCAATCTAGACTTTGTGAAAAATTGTTGGAAGACTTCTATGACTCAAATGATACATCGCAGCCTAATTCTACATATGGTAGACAATTGAATGATAGCAAGAAAATACAGCATTCGAAAAATTATAAGTTTGTTAAGTATGGAGAGAATTTATACTGTTATCCCACATCTTCGTTAGGTAGATTAATTATGATGGATAATGAACAGCGAAGGAAGCAACACTTAAATAACTGGGGAAAACATGTAAGCGATAGAAATTTATATGTATATGGTGGAGATCGAGATAGTTATTTTAATAAAAAAAAGTTTAAATTTAAAACTAATTTTAAAAGGACTTCTGCAGTCCAAACAGATTTTAAAACAATACCCGATTTTATTCAAAATATGTATAAAGACAAAGCTACGAATAACACGAGGGAGTCAGACAAAACAAATTGGTCTCTAAAACAAGAGCCTGATAAAGTCCTAAAACAAAATTCATTACAAAACATAGAAAATAAACTTGAAACATTGATTGTATCTATAAACACATTTATAGATGAGATTAAAGTTAATAAAAAGTTAATGAAGGATAACACCCTTAGATGTGAAATTTCTGAAGGTAAATCGAAAGAAATAAATAGTAAAATAAACAATATTAGCGTTCCGACCAAAGTGGTGAAAGCAGTTCCCAGAGTAGACACAGACAGCTGCGGAACCGTAGCGAAGTCTGCCCATAATCCTAGTACACTGTGTACAGTAGCAAAATTAAATGATAATATTGGTACTGCTAAAAAAAGAATTTCTCATTCCTACCTAGTATCTATCGAAGAACCAACTCGGGATTGTTCAACTGAAATAACGAAATCTTTTTCAAAACACAGTGATGGATATAAAAATAACTTGATAGAAGAAATAAATATATTGAATCAAAAACAATTCCCTTACCAACAAAATATGACGATAGCTGTGAACACTGACCCGCTTAGTATCTTGGCATTATTAAGAGTTTTTACTGATACTTTAAAGAGCATAATGTCATATATCCCAAATTTGAATTGCTATTCATATCTGTCACTGCTCCCAATCCCTCACTCTATAAAGACAGCAGAATCTCACTATATTTGTAACATATGTGGGGTAGACTTTAGTAAGCCTTCAGAACTAAGCGACCATATCCTTGAACATAATTTGGGAAAGACGAGGTATATAATATTTTTTATAATTATTTTTTCTTTTACAATTTTCTGGTCTATATACTGTTTTTCTAGAATAGCCCTTTTAATCAAATTTATTTTACATTCCTTCAAAGTTTACTTTTTAGAGATTGCTGTGTGTGTCGACATATTCTGGATAGAGTTCGACGGCAACAAAGTCTTTTCCGTTGTAAATATTGCGGGCAGTGCTTTACCAGAGCTTATTGTAGCGAGTTACATCAGAACTCATGCGCCAAACAAATGGGAAGAAACGACGATGTTTCCTCGGACTTACTATTGTTAAGATAGACAAATTAGTTAACCTGGAGGGAATTTTAAATAGGCTATATATTTTTAATTAAAATAAAAGGAATTATTACAAAGGACATTTTTAACATTATATTATATAGTAAAAAACTTAAAAGACTTAAAAAACGACAAAATAAATGGTTTTTAAATTATGCTAATGATTTATAAGATTGTTTGTTTTAATAACAACCTTAAATGCTTAATGATTCTTTAAAGTCACAACAAATTCATATAAAAGCGTTTATTAACTTTAAAAATAATTTAAAAGGATCGAAGATATTGCTTAGCTTTTAATTAACTTAGTCGTTTAATATAGCCATTGATACCAAATTTGACGAAGTACGGTGTTTAATGTTTCGTGCCTCGTTATGATAATTCATTTTATTTGTTTTTAGAACTCATTTTTTAAATCTGCATATATCCATATATCAATGAAGCTAGAACGTACTCTTTTTATTTCAAATCTATTACTATTATTATCGGATATGTTCTTTTTCTCAGCTTTTGGCTGGTTTTAACTACATTACGGGCCAAAGCCAAGTAAATGTAGCGTGTGGTGTGGTGAGTGCCTGTTTAAGATATAATTGTGTTTTCTTCTTCTTCTTATTATTATTATTATTATTTAGTGAAAATCTATAAAATCATGTTTTATTTAATACCAGAATTATTTGATTTTTTTTTTTATATAAATAGGATAGAATAAACTACGGTTAGTTTTTTGCAAAGCAAATAGAGGGTTCGGGTGCGAGTGGACAAAATCTGGCCCAAGCACGTGAAGGGATAATTGGGTAGTATCTGAATTGTCAGCGGTCCTTTGTGATGCCGCTGCTATCCATCACGGTTGTTTGTCAGACGCACATCCATTACGATGAAATGGGCGTAAAATTCAATCGAGACGTCTCAATACGTGGATGCTACATTATATGTAATTATGTTAGGTTTCTGGTCAACCGGCATAATGTAATTAGTTGCTTTTGTTGCTGTTGCTTGCCAAATATTGTATATGATAGATCTTTTGTACTTTTATTTCGATTGAATATTTCGATGTTGACATTTCTATGCATTGATTCAATATTGTCAATGTACTACTCGTACTAATGTGATGTACTTTTAAAAATTATATAAATAAGGTATCATTTTGTTTTAGTACAGCCCCGACGCGACAGTGTGTGTGATTGACGTCTTTGTCTTTCTTAAGTTCGGCAGAAATCGAAAAATAGGTATACGACGTGGATAGCTTGAAATAGTACATAGTTTATGAAAGATGATATTTTATTGTACCTACTTTCCTCGCTTCATTCGGGTACTTCCCTGGGTGCTAAATAGCAGCTTATATGTACATCAAGTTTTACTCTGTTGTTATACCAAATATCATCCAAATCTGTCCAGTCTTGTCAGCGATAAAGGAATAACAAACGCACATACACACATTCGCACATTTAATATTACTATAATAATACTTAGAATCTTGTATGTAGTATAATTAACCAATAATATGAGTCATTTATGTATTCTGTTCAGTTGATTGTATAGTTTGCCTTCAAAATAAAAAAATATTTCAAAATATTTAGCTTCAAGCTTAACAATAAACGGTGTGACCGGAAATAGCAACTATCTATATTTCCGAATCAGTGTAAAGACTTTTTGTCACACCTTGGACACACTTTTGACTCCCTGTTCTGTTGAGAGGTGTAAATTCAATAATGAATTGCAATACAAAGGGTATTTTGCCGTCGGTCCGTTAAAGCCCGCCGGGGTTTCTATGGGTTATTCTACTAGATTCCTTTATTTTCAAAGGAATTTAAGATAGCTTTTGCAGCGACACGCACGAATTGACACGTCATATCTTAGTTATCCAGATATACTAAAGATTAATAAAAAAATAATAATTTATTTGTATATTTTTATAATGACAATGTACTTTAACAAGATATTGTGACGTGAAATCTTACATCAGTTATTTTGTAAAATATAGACATACCCATAGATCAACGTTATATACTTATTATCATGTACATAATATATGTATTCAGCCTTTTTTAAGCTCCCACTACTGGGCACGGGCCTCTCTTCAATGCGAGGGGGATCATGTCATAGTCCCCAACGCTGGCCAAGTGCGGGCGGACTGAGCATGATTTTCGGAAACTTGCTAGGTTCTCTCAGACATGCAGGTTTTCCAACGATGTTTTCCTTAACCGTCAAGCAAGAGCTAATCATGTTGGAAATAATTCGCACATGAAAATATTAGAGGAGTGTGAATCGATATTTGGACTCGCTTCACTCGGTTTCTCAAGCGAGCGCATTACCACTGGCCTACCATTTATTGTTATCTCAATTTTTGAATTTTACCTAATATATTTCGTTACAGCCTAATTCATTAGCCTTAAATATGTGTCGCGATGCGCCAGCGCAAGATAATAGCCGCGATCATTTGTTTAGGTGAAATTGTAAGAATTGTGCGACAGACGCGCTCGGAGATAGACGGACGTGGGAAGATGTACGCGATAAAAATAATGTAAAACAAGAATTGATTTCTATGTTTGCTATTTCCAAGTTTCTCTTTTATTACTTCGCTTTGAGTTTGGTTGCGACTGTTGACTTTTGATGCTGATCAAAAATGTAGGTAATAGGTATAGCAGGCGGCTCCTTTTAAATGCGTGTAATTATGAATATTCTAATTCTATATTAATTTTAAACAAAAGAGCAAAAACTATGAATTAAATGTATTAACTATTTATAATAAACTCTCATAGATTTTATTATTTTAAATTATACGTAAATATATATATGTATCTAAAACTCTAAGACAAAAAATATTTCATGTTTAATATAGCAATAATTGTAACCCTGAAGTACATTTTCTGTTACTATGTCAGAAAAGTTTCGAAATTGTATCTAGAAATTGATTTTTATTAATTCAAGATTTTATATTTTTAGAAATGAGGTTTAGTAATTTTAGATACAGGATTCTCTATTAATGGAAAATGAAGGATTATAAGATACAAAAACAAATCAATCCCACGGGAATCATACATGTTTCCGGGATAAAAAATAGCCTATGTGCTATTCCTGACTATAATCTATCTCTGTGCCAAACATTCAGATCCGTCCAAACGTTCTGGCGTGAAAGAATAACAAACATCCATCCATGACGACACGTTTGGCTCAGTTTGTAGTGACCCTACTTGCTGCGCCAGCGGGCGCGGGTTCGAGTCCCGGCATTCATTTGTGGCTGAGCACGAATGTTTGTACTCCAGTCATGGGTGTTTATATTTATAATATGTATGTATGTATTTAAAAGTTATATATGTATAATGTATCAACTGCCTGGTATCCATAACACAAGCCTCGTAGCTTACAATGGAACTAGATGGTGTTGTGTGTTAATGTACTGACATATATTTATTTATTTATCCATCCTCACAAACTTTCACATTTATAATATTAGTAGGATATAACATCATTATTTGTTTGGCGCATCATTAAAGAAAATCATTCAAGAACGACACTGACCAAGGTGAATAAAAGTTATAACCACAGATGATTTAGTAGTTCTTTAGAATGTAACGATTAAGTACTGAACAAATAAGGACGTAAGACCAAAACACCTCAGAAAGAACCTCGACTAATTCTAGTGTTTTAAAACAAATTAAGAAACTTCTATTATACTAAAAAAAATTTCGTTCACGGCAATTTATCGTGAAATTTATCCTAATTGTAGACTAACGTGGCAAATTCTACGTAGAAATATTTGAGCGTTTACTGGGACAGTTGCATTGGGAACTCCATTAGCGGCACTTTTTCAAGATCAGGCATGAAATTAAGTCGATTATAGCAAATGGCTGCAATATTTATCTATGAAAAGTGTACATTGCGAAGATTCAGGGTTTGAAATTATCAAGATAAATATATCTTTTGATAATTATCAAGATAAATATATCTTTTGATAATTATCAGATAATTATCCGATAATTATCAAACAGATATAAACTTAGCAATCCTTGTGTATGTATTGGTATTTGACTACTTGCCTATCATAATTTACGTTAGAATAAATTATACACTTTTAATAATCAAGGTAATCTTTTATTATTATTATTTTTTCATTATTTTGACATATACAAATTACGAAATAAAACCAGTATAAATTTAACCAACTTTAAAGACACTATTTAGTTAAATTAAAAGCCTCTGCCCACTATACCGTCTCATACCAATTACCATGACCGTGCTAGAACCATGTCAGGCAAAAACATATTCTTTGTATTGAAAAGTATGAGACTATACCCACTGACCGTTCCATCACCGACCAAGAACTTTCCGTCACCAAGCAACACCGTAGCGTGCCGTGCATGGAAAGTTAACAATAATTGTCGGCAAGAATATTTTGCCGGTGCCAATACGCTCCGTGGCTGGCACGCGACGTTGCCGAACCGGTGCGCGCGGACGGCGAAACGGTGAGCACACGGGTTATAACTACGTATGATGACCGATCTAAGCCCGTTATAAACGTGTTGTCGCTTGTCTTCTACTGATTATATTATTTTCTTTTAAATTATATTTTTTTTAAAACGGCGTGAATCTAGTATCGTCGTGATCGACTGATGTTATTCTCTTTTTTCCTCGTCTAAAACAAAGGCTATCATTGTTAATTTACTGTCGGACAAGTTTCTCTAATTGCCGTCGTATAGGAAATAATTTTCGTAAAAAAAATATTCACTCGCTCTTCCTGACGCGGCTGCCTCACGCGAAAACACAGGTGAACTACTACGACTGAGAAAACGGGAACTATACGGATATGACACGCGGATGATACGCGGTTGATACGCGAATGATACGTTCTAGTCGGCATAGTAGTCCGTGGTCTTGGTATGAGACGGTGTAGTGGGCAGACTCCTTAATAAGTGGAATATCATCCTCACCCTCCTCAACTGCATTAACTCAGTTTGCTGATGAAGTTTTTTGAACTGATTGAGAGAGTTCAGTTAGCTCATCGACAATTTGAAGAGTTACAAATTAAATATTTTCAATTATATTTATCAAAGATAATTATCAACCCATATTTATCTTGATAATTATCATGATAATTATCAATGACAATTATCGTTTCGAACCCTGCGAAGATTGTAATTAGTTCGATCGCTTATAATATGGCTATGAGAGTTGAGCTTATATTTTTTTCGGGAAATGTTCATTATTATATGCATATTTTAAACAAATGAAATTCTTCATCATACCTCGATCTTGATATTGGTCCTTTGAAAAAAAAAACAAAATCCGTCATATCATCTAAAACACCTGCATTTCATAGATATTTTGAATAACAAAAAACAGTGGTTCCTTTGAGAGTGAATGGGAGACAATATTTGTCATCCTAATCGCGATATTAATGCGGCGGGCGGCGCGCGCGCACCTTGCACGAGCGCAATCTTATCAATTATTTGTCCAATACCCTGTTTATCGTTTATCGCGACTCCTGACACCGCATTGTAAAATTACCCCAAAAGAAAACATCTACCGATAACTTTTTTCCGTAGAGCCCAGAGTGGGCGCGTGCCCGCCGAGGGACTGTTATCGCTGTTTGTACTTCTCGAACAGTTAATCGTGTAATTCAGATTAAGACAGTGTTGTTCATTTATGTTCCTTGGATTTCATATTTTTTTCGCACATAAATGTAAAAGATACCTTCAAGCTGAAAGATAAATGCTGCTTTATTCAAATGAGTCATTATATGTCGAAGGAAAGTAAGGGTTAACCACTTTAGAATTATAATAAAATATTATACATATATTTTTTCTCAATTTTATCTAACAGTATATAGTTTAGTAGAAGATTTCTTTTTTTAAAGAACGATTAATTATTATTAGTCAACAAGTATTGCAGTCAATATGTACCTAAGCAAAATTACTATCAAATGAATCAAAAAACATACGAGTATTTATATATGTGTAATACTTTTTATCATCGACATTATCAGTGATGATGTTTTGAATGCCTTTTCATCATATTCCCAACCTTTATTAATACCAAGAATTTTATGAACATGTAAGCTCGTGCGGTAGCGTTGTTTGACTCATCATCAAGGTGTACAGACGATTTCTAATAGGATAAGAGGCAACTTCCAGGTTGTTTCCACTAATGTGATCAGCTTCCGTCGGCCAGTGACGTCACGCCGGAACTGTGACTCAGGACTCGAACCCGCACAGGCGGAATGCAGACTGCAGACGTATCTTAGGTATAAATTGCAAAGTATTCTATCTTTATATTATGTGTCCGTTGGTGCGTTTGACAGTGAGTGTACCTTCTGAAGTTTGCCGATTGAGGATCAGATAATTTATTCGTTGTCGATACATGTATATATATCATTATTTAGCTATTATTAAATTTTATTTTCCAGGAAAGATTGAACAATGTCTGCTGGACCAGCTAGTATCTACTTGAACATAACGTGTATTGGAATATTCACGTCCGTCAATGAACACGACGTCTAACTAATGTCAATAATATAAATATATAATCTGTTTAAAAATATCTAAAGCCCGTCTGTTATTTTACTTACAAAAACAAAATTTTCATTTCCATTTTTATGTATTAATTTAAAGTTATTGAAAAATATACTGCATATATAATCAATTGATGATGCTATAATTAAATGAGGTAAGTTCATATTTTATAAATTGTACGAATATAAATATGTTGGGACATTAACACACAGCACCATCTAGTTCCATGGTAAGCTACGAGGCTTGTGTTATGGATACCAAATAGTTGATACACTACACATATATAACTTTAATTACATACTCATACATATTATAAATATAAACACCCATGACTGGAATACAAACATTCGTGCTCATCACACAAATGAATGCCCCCATCGGGACTCGAACCCGCGACCGCTGGCACAGCAAGTAGGGTCACTACAAACTGAGCCATACGTATCGTTAAATATGAGAGATATGAGAAATAAAGTAAATAGAATTAAGTTAGAGAGCTAATGAAGTAAAACGACTAACAGTAATGCGGCGCTCCATTCTCTTAGTTTCGGTACATTAAAAGGAAATTAGTTCTGATTTCATAATAAAATAAATAACTTTAAAGATAGATTTATTCAACGAACATATTATGTTAGTATGAGAATTATTTACATTTTCAAGATGGACAAAGACCCTGAGATAAGATAAGTCAACGAGATTAGTCATAATTGGCGTTTACGAGAGCTGGAAATAAACCTGCTTCCTTTACGTAGCGGAAACCCATGCATTTGCATCGCGTCGCCCGCGCGGCCGTGGCGAGTGGCGACGGCGGCGCAGGCGTCACGTCCGTACTTCGCACTACACAGTACACTTGTAAAATGATCATGAGCTGAATCGCTATTACAATATTAAGTTACATCTTATGTGATGTAATTATTACTAAAATATTTGATGGTCTGAGTGTGTATAAGCATATCCTATTTTGCAGGAGTTTTCACTGATAAGTTTAGAATTAGTAGAAAATTGTGACTACAGTTAAGTTACTTGTTTAATTTAAAAACAAGACTTATTATGTTGTATTTAATAAATAATCATACATATTTCAATCAATATTCTATGTAGTTTTCCAGTGTTTAGTGGTTTTGAGCAAATAATTAAGTTTGTTAAATCAGAAAGTGTGAAACTTTTTAAAGAACAATACAAATATTCGTGTAAATTAATGCACCATAGTCTGCGTGCTAACACTACGCCACAGTTTTTACAGAACCACTATCAGATGATATTTAATGCTACAGCGAGTCCCTCAGAAAAGCTTGGCAATGGTCAATTAATACTGATCCACGCGAGATCAGAATATAAATGTGCGAGGTGATAAGCGAAAGCTTTAAACAATAGGTTTGTCGGTCCGTCATCATATTGTATAGAAATATTATGTTCGCATTGAATCGATGGCACGGAAGGTAAGTGCTTATTCATGTCTTGGATATAGATTAAAAAATATTTGGTAGTTTTAGCTTACTTTAAGTTTTATAAATTTGTCTTCTTTGTTGAGTCGGTATGTCTGTTGTTACGTTTATGTATATAACAAAAGTCGAGAGGTGTCGCGGGACACTCGGATGTCTCATTGTGGACTGCCCTTGGCTTATAATATCTGGTAATAATATTTGTCTGGAGTACTGTGGTCCCCAAACCACGAGGAATGTCCATTATAAATGTAGATTTTAGGATCCCGTCACAAGAGTGCGAACGAACGGAATACGAAGTACGAACTACTTACTACACGTCTATTTCTTAGCTATTATGCTCGCCTGGTACTTATTATGACGTCACATGACGTGGTGCTTTTAGTCTATCTTCTATCTTCTTCTATATAAATAAAAATGAATGTTGGTAAGCGCATAACTCAAGAATGGCTGGACCAATTCGGCTAAATTTTTTTTGTATGTTCCTTAAGGTCCATGGAAGGTTTTAATAAAGAGAAAAAATGAAAAAAATTACGAACAAAATATTAAAATTTATATGGCTAACGCTGGCTAATAACTATTTATATCTATTTAAAACGTAACTAGCGCTAGTAAATAATAAAAATTGTCGTGACGCTCAAAATATTACACTTGTTTCTGTCTAACTCTAATTTGCAAAATGATGTGAGCAATAAAAAAATTGAGGGTAGTACGAACAAATATTTTATTATTAAAAATTTTACTTGTGTTAATATATTATGTTCAGTTATTCTACATTTTTATAGACTCCAGATAACATTAACTCTGTGTTATAGAACATCATGATTATAGATATAGATTATCAACCGTCTTCAAAAAGGAGGAGGTTCTCAATTCGACTGTATTTTTTTTTTGTTTTTTTTTTTTTTTATGTTTGTTACCTCAGAACTCCGTCATTTATCAACCGATTTGGACAATTTTTCTGTTGTTTGAAAGTGTATACTTCCAGATTGGTCCCATTTAAATTTCAAAAAAAAATACTACCCCTAAAGGTGGAAAAATAGCTAATGATGAATTTAACCTACTTCTGATTGTCATATTGACTTGAAACTTTACAAGTGTTTCTATTTCCGTTGATAGTACAGTCGTTCAGTATTGTTGACCTGATCTGATGGTAAGGCCAGAAGGTGGATAGGTGGAACTCTTCAACGGCTAATAGTAGATACTTTGAGTTTGGGCTTATTTTGTTTGATTTGACAAGCCTAACACGTTAGAATTCTTACTTTGCTACTACTGTCTAAACTAAAAAGGGAAAAATAAAAACTTTTTAACAAAAAAATAAAAACCGACTTCAAAAAAAAGCACTAAAAAGTAAAAAATAACTGATTGGTAGTTTTCATTTACTATACATACCTAATCAAATATTTTCGAAATCGGTGCCAGCCCATACAAAGCAAAGCACACCGACTTCGAAAATATTTGATTAGGTATGTATAGTAAATGAAAACTACCAATCAGTTATTTTTTACTTTTTAGTGCTTTTTTTTGAAGTCGGTTTTTATTTTTTTGTTAAAAAGTTTTTTTTAAATACAAACATCTTTCAATCAAAAAATCCATTTCAAGTTCTCTATCCTGCATTTTTGCTCACATCAATACAAACGTTTCTAAAAATCGTTGTGTGATGGTGGACTATTACCGAGAAGTCTATAGACGGTACGGTTCCATATAATAAGTTTATTTGAATTTTTAAAAGAGAGTTGTCCAGCATTTAGTGGTTATCGGGGTTATCGTAAATTAAGTGTGTCTTCATTCCCACCTGACCACCGGCGGCTTGATAACATGGCGCCTGCTCCCGCGCCCTCGCTGTGATTTACACGGATGTAGAACATAACGAAATAACACATCTCGTATTTATTCGCTATAATCATACCACATACTTCAATCAATGAATTTAATTAGCTTTAGCTATAAAATATATTAAATTTGTAGTTGTACAAAAATAAGATAGTACATACGAGTATGTACATATATTTGAATCTTTATACAATTTCCTATTTGCAGCGTTGACATTCATACCATTGAACTTAATAGAACTATATTCCATACATTTCGTAATTTATTTAGATATTTATATAATATATGCTTGTCACTTTATGTATCGGCAAATATAAAAAATGCATCAAATCGATAGTTTCTGTTAAAATTAAGATATAATACTATAAATACTATAAATTATTACTTTTCGACATATTTAATAGTACATGATGAAAAAATGATGTTCTCCCGACCGATTCCGGCCACGGCGGCCAATCTCATTGAGACTAGCCAACTGCGCAGGAGATATTATAGTGCACAAGTGTACGCGCAGACACAAGTGCACTCTCTATTCCTGTCACTCTCATATTCCGGTGGGACGACTGTTCGACACGACCAGTGAGAGTTAAGGCGCAGGACCGACGGCTTTACGTGCTCTCCGAGGCACGGGGGTGAAACACCGCCAACTTCCCAACTCCGGGCTGTTACTGAGGCTTACTTATACAGAAAGACTCAATAACTAAACTTGGCCCGACCCGGGACTCGAACCCAGGACCTCCGGGTGTGCAGCCGTACATGCTAGCCACTACACCACGGAGGCAGTTTAATTTATATTTTACATTTTATAGTTTAATTTTACTCGTATATGTATTATGTACATATATCTGTCTATTTTATCCAATAACTAATTAAATTATTTATATGTAACTTTGATATGTTTATCCACTTAGCTTATATGCACAAACATTTATAAATTATAATACATATTGTAATTTTGAATGTAAATAATAAAATAGTATTTTGTCTCATCCAGGGAGCACAGATCCAAGTGTTGATCTCACGGCGCCTCTACGTTTGGGTGCCTAGTGACCATTTGACGCTTTTTTCGTTTTTCTTGTTTTTTGTTCCGAGTTCGATGCTAAGCGACAATCATTGTATTGTGTTCCGAGAAATACGAGAATGTGATATACTCACATGCTTGGATGCGGTATCTGAGACACTTCTTAGTTCATTTATATAATTTAATCATTGATTGGTTTTTTTTATTCATAATTGTATTAATATATTAATTAATCTAAGTAGATAATGTACTACAATAATATATTGACGTTAATTATAATAAAATATCTATATTTTTCAAATTATACCTAATAATTCTCCCTGTAAAACTTTGCGTAGCATTAGAATAGTAGCAATTTTTCATGCTTATTATTCAAGGATAGTCGTGTAAATGTTTATGAAAAATGTTTTAAGACTTGTCTTCTCACCTCCACGTTGCTATCGGAATGTAACAGTGTCGATTAAAAGTTAAAATAAACAAAAACAAAACACACAGCCTTATCAGATCGGCAGATAATGGATTGACCCATTTTAGTGTGAATCACTCATTATAACGAGACAACCCCATTTTTCTGTCCAAAACACAAAATCTTAGTACTACTTATGTAAGAATTTAAGTTTTCTAACTGCAAATGTAATTTGGTTCTAAGTCAGCTTTTAAAGGCTGTATGTTAATAAAATATAGATTTATTAACTCGAGTGTGGGGTTCAAAACGAAATTTTATTGCACTTCGATATTTCACATGTTATATGTATATACTCGTAAATTGGTATATGGATAATATGTGTCGCTCCCCGAGACGTTTGTTAGGTTTATAAATATGACTTTGGCTGTTTGCAATTTTCTCAAGTAATTTATAGAGATTTTAATGAAATTGGCAAAGGACCAGTTCGTAGTTCTGGATAGACTTGGGGTAAGTATTCTGCCTCTATAATTAATTCATCTTTAATTACCAATTATGCATATACATTGCTACGTTTTGCTTTTACTATTCTTCCATATAATTTTTCAGTATAAAAAGATACATATATTATCTATATCGTGAGTTCTGGATAACAAGTAATAATGGGAAACAAGTAGTAGGTTTTTTATTATAATTAATAATTATTATTGATAAAATTCTGCTTTATGTAATTCCTTAACACTACAAACTAACCTTATATTTATACCTAATAATAAGAGCTTCTTATTCATACTTCGTAAATTCTAAATACTTGTAGGTACATATGAGCCTTTCCGATAACAAAGGTTTAGAGGTTAAGCAACACATTAACAGAATTAGGCTCCTTGTGATTGCTATAAAACCTAGGTTATATTTCACTGGACATTTAGCTTTATCAGAATTACAAATCAAGTACCTACAAAATAAAAGTAAATAATTCCAAATTCGTGCAAAACATGCCAAATTAATAACTTAGTAGTTAATGAGCTTGAACACTGAGCTATCAGATTTTCATTCCGTGTTACATTCTGGCTAATCGCTTCGACACGTGGAAACGAATGGACTGGGCGGAATGTGCCTGCTGTGCCTCTAATAATTCGCCTTCATTATACACTTGTTATTTAGTC